AATAAATAAATAAATAAATAAATAAATAAATAAATAAATAAATAAATAAATAAATAAAGATGGAGGATAGAGTGGGGAAGAGTTGAGACAGGGATGGAGAGGGGTATGTAGAGCCTGGTTTGAATGATGGAGAGGGAGAGAGTGGGTGAGCTGGAATGGGGTGAGGTTATGGGAGGAGATAGTGGGATGATAGAAGCCAGAATCTGGACATGGTAGCTCTTGCCTGCAAAGCCATCACCCGGAAGGCTGTAGCAGGAGTGTGGGTTCGATGTTAGGCGCTGGAAGAGAAGAGAGCTATCCCAGGAGGGACCAGGGCAAGCGGGCAGGCTGGTGGACCCGAGCTTGGCCCAGGTGACTAGGGGAGAGGACCTCAGGGAGAGACTGGGGGCGCGGTGTTGGGACGCTTAGGGAAGGACCAACCTCTTATCAGAGACTCCCTCCTGTCCTCAGGGGCTCCTGCTATCTCGCAAGCGCCAGAGGCGTTGTCGAGGACGCGTGCCAGCACCGCGCGGTTCGTGTGCCGCGCGTCGGGGGAGCCACGACCCACGCTGCGCTGGCTGCACGACGGGGCACCGCTGAGACCCAACGGGCGCGTCAAGGTGCAGGGCGGTGGTGGCAGCTTGGTCATCACGCAGATCGGCCTGCAGGACGCCGGCTACTACCAGTGCATAGCAGAGAACAGCGCTGGAACCGCGTGTGCGGCTGCGCCCCTGGCGGTGGTGGTGCGCGAGGGGCTTCCCAGCGCCCCCACTCGGGTTACGGCCACGCCTCTGAGCAGCTCCGCTGTGCTGGTGGCCTGGGAGCGGCCTGAACTGCACAGCGAGCAAATCATTGGCTTCTCCCTTCATTACCAAAAGGCAAGGGGTATGTATACTCAAGACCAAGTGGCCGCACTTAGAGCAACCACGGGTTAGATTGCCTGGTGGGGACCTCTGTGGATGGGGTGATCTAGTATTAGAGTTCGGAGTGTGCATGTACTCCCCCTGAGAGGATGCTTGCCTTTACAGGGTTAATGTTAACCCTAGTTAACTAACTGCAGTGGTAACTGCTTAATTAGACAGCACAAGGAACTTCCTGACCAGTTCTGGAATTAATACAATGGGTAGACTAAATGGCGAGGGCCTTTATACCCTTCAGCCTAGACTGTCTTCCACGATTTAGCTATACATAGACCGTTAGGATCCCCAGACCAACTCCCGACTGGTAAGACTTGAAGTGAAAGGGCTGTGACAGTCCTTTTGTCTCCTGTGCCACTACCTCAGGAGTGGACAACGTGGAGTACCAGTTTGCAGTGAACAATGACACCACAGAGCTGCAGGTTCGGGACCTGGAGCCCAACACGGATTATGAATTCTACGTGGTGGCCTACTCCCAGCTAGGGGCCAGCCGCACCTCCAGCCCAGCCCTGGTGCATACACTGGATGATGGTAGGACCTCTGAACCTGCAGTGGCCTGGAACCCAAGGACATCCCTACCCAGAGACTGTGTACCCCAAGGACCTCTTCCTTACCTTGTGATGTCTTTTGTGCCCTGTAAAGGAGTGGGCAGGGTTTCTTCTTCCCCGTGTAAAATGGGGAAACTGAGGATCAGAAAATGAAAGTGACTTGCCCAAGGTCAGTAGGACAGCTGGGATCTGAACCCCGCTCTCGTGAGTTCCCATATTTTACAGCCCTCCTTTCTTATACCTGTGTACCATTCAGCCATTGAATATAAAATCTTCTGGCCAACACTGTCCTCTAGCCTGGGGGTAGGAAGGATGTCTCCTCCTCCTCCAGCTTGGGGCTCCCGAGAGGCTCCCTTCCCTCCCTCTGATCCTGGGCCTGCTCCTGAGTTGCTGTGTGACCCGGGCAAGTCTCTGACCACTCCTGACCTCGGCTCCCCTGTCAGTGGAGCAGAGCTCATGCCAGCGTTCTTCTGTCTCAGTCCCCAGTGCGGCACCCCAGCTTGCCCTGTCCAGCCCCAACCCCTCAGACATCAGGGTGGCATGGCTGCCCCTGCCTTCGGGCCTGAGCCACGGCCAGGTGGTGAAGTACAAGATAGAGTACGGCTTGGGAAAGGAAGGTGAGTGGGGCTGGGGCAATGGGGAGCTGCCAGTGGGAAAGGAGGTTCTCCCCCAAATAGGGGAGTCTGTGGGAGTAAGTCCCAGCAGGGCATGGGAAAGCTCTGGAAAAGAGCAATGGGAGGCTAGAGGGATAGCTCAATGCATAAAGTACTTGTGCAAGCCCAAGGACCTGAGTTCAACCCCAGTCTGGCACGGTGGTGGTGCCTGCTGGTAATCCCATTACAGGGAGGCCATAGAGGAAAAGGGAAGAAAAAACGGAAACGAGATAAGGAGGTGCCATGTGTATAGCCAGCGGAGCCTCTGACTCAGTTTCCTTTCTGTGAAACAAGCTGTTCACCTAGTTGATCCTTGGAACCCTTTTAGTTTAAGCACCAGAGCAGAGACGGACTGCTACGGGTGTGCCCGTGGAGCGTGGGGTGTTCTTGTTGGGCATATGGTGATGGTCTAGGGGCGCTGATGTGGTTCTAAAAGTAATGGGGAGTGCAGAAAAAAAGAGGCTAGGGTCAGAGTAAAGCTAAAAAGAGAGGCGGGAGGCTGACCCAAGGTAGCAGTCAGGGCTCCTGACAGCAGGGTGCCCTTGGCTAGCCATCGGGACTGCACAAGGGGTGTGTACTGGCTGTTTTGACCATAAACAAAAAGGAGAAAACACACCATGGTCTTTCCACTCTGAACCAAGACTAATGGGCTTTAGCAGTTGGAGCTAGAGGCCCCAGGGTCAGCCTGGAGGCATGGAGCCTGCCTCCAGCTGAGGGGTCAGTGCCCAGAGGACCTCAGGGGCCTAAGTGTAAGAGCCAGTGTGGTAAGTTTAGAGATCATGGTCCCCAGATGAAGGACACCCAGCAGCCATCTCTTCTGTCCCAGAAGATCAGGTTTTCTCCACTGAGGTACCCGGGAATGAGACACAGCTTACGTTAAACTCACTTCAGCCGAACAAGGTATACCGAGTCCGGATTTCGGCCGGCACGGGGGCTGGCTACGGAGTCCCTTCCCAGTGGATGCAGCACAGGACACCTGGCATGCACAACCAGAGCCATGGTATGGAGCTTCAGGGGCAGACCAGACAGTGGGGGAGGGTGTTCTGTGGCCTTGGAACCCCAGACCTAATTGTCACCTTCCTCCACCTGCCCCCTCCCCCGCCACACACATTGGATGCATCAGGGAAGCCTGGGTGTAGGAGTGAAGGGCTGAGTTCGGGTATCTCTCTGTTCCCTTTGTGACCTTTGACAATTCACATCTGTAAAGCTTCATTAATACTATAAGGGGAGGCAGGGTCAGTAATGCAATTATACATAAAGTGGTTGGCACAGAGTAGGAACTCCATGGGCTGAGAATATGGCTCACTTGTTAGAACGCTTGCCTAGCATGCACAAAACCCTAGGTTCGATCCCCAGCACTGCACAAACCCGGCATGGTGGCACATGCCTGTGTCCCAGCAGAAAGATCAGAAATTCAAGATCTGCCTTACCTACATAATGAGTTTGGGGCCAGCCTGGGATGCATGAAGTTCTGTTTCAAAGGAAGGAAGGGAGGAGTCCATTACATGGTAGGTGGTTTTGCCAGAGGCCCAGTGGTAGAGTGATTTAATGCCCACAAAGTTGACCACTGTTTTCAGACATCTGGAAAGTTACTTGACATCCTGAGCTCAGTTTCTACCTGTAAAATATAGATAATAGCTTTTTGTTTGTTTGTTTTTGTTTTGTTTTTTATTTGTTTGTTTTTTGTTTTTCAAAACAGAGTTTCTCTGTAGTGTTGGAGCCTGTCCTGGAACTAGCTCTTGTAGACCAGGCTGGCCTCGAACTCACAGAGATCCACCTGCCTCTGCCTCCCGAGTACTGGGATTAAAGGTATGCGCCACCACCGCCCGGTTGCTTTGTTTTGTTTTGCTTTTACTGGATTATAGAGTTATAAGAATGAAGGGCTGCCAACATGGCCCAGCTAGTAAAGGGGTTGCTCTTTTTTCAGAGGATCAGACTCCCATTGTCTCCCCCAGAAGCTATATGGTGGAAGGAAATAAATGAGTCCACAATTTGTCCACTGACCTCCACATACACACACAAACATAAATACCTAAAAATTTTAAAATGCATATACGAAGTGTTTGAAACAATGTCTTACACATAGCCAGCCTTCTATTCTTGGGCTCCGAGTAGGGCTCCTCACTCTAATGGTTTCAGACCTTTTTCCTTACCTCAGCAGCCCCTTGTCTCTATTTATTTCTTCAAGAGACTAGCAGAAGCCCCTCTGTTCCCTCTGACAGACGCGCCCCCTGCCGTCTCTTTTGTGCATGCCTTGCAGGCGCACCCTCACAGCTAGCATGCAGTGCTCAAAACCACCGGGAGGTGGCAGAATGGAGCAGCAGGGAAAGCCCTGGCTTAACTCTGGGCTGTGCTCTGCCCCTGCCTAGTCAGGTTCCTGACGTCCTCACTCCTCATTCTCTTCCCCTTGTCCCCATCATCTCCCTCTGCCCCCAGTTCCCTTTGCCCCTGCAGAACTGAAGGTGAGGGCAAAGATGGAATCCCTGGTGGTGTCATGGCAGCCGCCCCCTCACCCCACCCAGATTTCTGGATACAAACTCTACTGGCGTGAGGTGGGGGCAGAGGAAGAGGCAGACGGTGACCGCCCCCCAGGGGGCCGAGGAGACCAGGCTTGGGACGTGGGACCCGTGAGGCTCAAGAAGAAAGTGAAGCAGTATGAACTGACTCAGCTAGGTGAGCAGGCCTGGGCGTGGGAGGGTCATGTGAGCTGGGCAAGCGGGGTGCAGGGAGAGTGACCCCTGTGGCCTTCCCCAGTCCCTGGCAGGCTGTACGAGGTGAAGCTCGTAGCTTTCAACAAACACGAGGACGGCTACGCAGCTGTATGGAAAGGCAAGACTGAGAAGGCGCCCACGCCAGGTGAGGAGGCGGCAGGGGGGTTGTGAAAGCCTCTTTCCCCTTTTCCCTATCAGCCAGCAGGCAGTGTATGTGCCACATCCACTCCTGCTCACTCTCCCCGGCAGGAGTCCTCCTGCTGTCAGACAAGCCCCTCATTCTCAAGCTAAGCCGGGCAAACGGGGAGAGTGTGAAAAAGTTTAGGAAACCCCATGCTCGATGCCTGATCCCTGGCTCCAACATTCAACCTACTGGGACTGAATCTACTGAGACTGGAGATACAGATAGTTGGGAGCCGCCATGTGGGTACTGGGGATTGAACCCAGATTCTTTAGAAGGACAGTAAATGCTCCTAACTGCTGAGCCATCTCTCCCCTCTCCTGGCGTATTGCTTCTGCTCAGAATAAATCATAAGCTTACTTAAAATATTTTAAAGTTTGTTTGGATGTAATCTCAATTTTTAAATTATTTTTTTAATTTTTATTACATTTTGTTTATTTTGTGTGCACTTGTGGGGGTGAGAAGAATATCTGATTCTCTTCCGTCTCGTGGGCTCTGGGGATCAAATTCAAGTCCTCAGGTTCGGCAACCTTTACCCACTAAACTATCTCACTGCTCCATGTTTTGGGGGCAGGGGGTTTGGTTTGGTTGTTGTTTGTTTGTTTTGTTTTTCTCGAGGCAGGGTCTCACTACGTTGCTCTGATTGTCCTGAAACTATGTGGACCAGGTTGGCCTTGAACTCACAGAAACCCACCTGCCTCTGCCTCCCGAGTGCTGGGACTGAAGGCCTGCCCCACTCAGCCCAGCAATTTCACAGCTCTCTTTTTGCTTTGTTTTTGCTTTTTTGAGACAAGGAGTTTCTTTGTGTACCCCTGGTTGTCCTGGCTGGCCTCAAACTCAGATCCACCTATGTTTGCCTCTCAAGTGCTGGGATTAAAGGCATGCGCCCCCCCCCCAGGCTAATTTCACTGTTCTTAATAGTGAATGTTATAGGTGACAGCATCCTGTCTCAGTGTCACAAGGGTCAAAGAAGCAAAGGGACTCGTCTAAGGCCACACAAAGCCTAGACTAACTAGGGCCCAGCACCCTGCCTCCCAAGGAAGGGTGGTCCACTGTGTTGTGCTGCCCTGTGGCCCCGCCTTGTCACCTTGAGGATCCATCCTGACACTCAGAAGCAAAGAAACCTGGGTCCTAATTCCAGACAGTTCATTTCTTTTCATTGAGCCAGTATTTTAATAAGTATCCACCATGTACCAGCTCTGTTCTGGAAATTTACTGTTGAACAACACAAATAAACTTCGTTCTCTTGGAGTTTATTTATTAGATAGGCATAAAATCAAATAGTTGTCAGGAAACAGTATACACTACACCAGGCAGTTTTCTACCTGCATTGTAAATATTAATTTAACTTCATTAGAACTTCCGTGAGGGGCCGATGAGATGGTTCAGCAGATGAAGGGCTTGCTGCAAGCCAGCTGGCCTGAGTTTGGTTCCCAGGCTCCCCCAAGTTGTCCTCTGACCTCCACAGGCACAGCGTGGCACACCCACTCCCTTTCCTTCACATAACAAATACATGTGTGGCCAGGCAGTGGTGGCGCGCGTCTTTAATCCTAGCTCTTGGGAGGCAGAGGCAGGTGGATCTCTGAGTTCAAGGCCAGCCTGGTCTACAGAGCAAGTTCCAGGACTGGCTTCATAGCTACTGAGAAATCTTGTCTCAAAAAACCAAAAAATTGGGGGCTGGAGAGATGGCTCAGTGGTTGCTCTTCCAAAGGTCCAGAGTTCAATTCCCAGCAACCACATGGTGGCTCACAACCATCTGTAATGATGTCTGGTGCCCTCTTCTGGCCTGTAGGCATACAAGCAGACAGAATACTGTATACATAATAAATAAATAACCAAAAAAATTAAAATTAAATTTTAAATAAATTAAAGAAAAATGAAGAACCTCAAGACATAGGTACTGTCATCAGATCCATATAAGGACTGGAAATGGAGGCACAGAGAGATCGTGCAACTTCTCTAAAGTCACACAGCTAGTAAGAGGCAGAAACGGAATTTCAACCAAGCCTGGCTCACGAGCCATGGCATGCTTTCTTTGTCACATACTTGTCAATGATGATTCATAGTTGCTCTGGGTGTGACCTTAGGGGGAAAAACCACTTCAATTCTTGGGTGCCTCAGTTGCAGTGGGAATAATGCCACCCAACTCACAGGGTCCAAAGAGAGAGCCAGTGGCAGTCATGGTAGCACACAGCTACAACCCCTACACTAGAGAGGCAGAGGCAGGAGGATGGAGAGTTAGAGGCCAGCCTGGGTTACTACATAATGAGACTCTGTCTCAAAAATAAGAAGGAAAAAGATCAAATAAAGCTTCTTGGGACGATGAGTGCCTGTCCCCTCCCACCACGCTTTGATTTCCCTTCTAGACCTGCCTATCCAGAGGGGGCCGCCCCTGCCTCCTGCCCACATTCACGCGGAGCCAAACAGTTCCACCTCCATCTGGCTTCGGTGGAAGAAGCCAGACTTTACCACCGTCAAGATTGTCAACTACACTGTGCGGTTTGGTCCTTGGGGACTCAGGAATGCCTCCCTGGTCACCTACTATACCAGGTATCAGCAAGGGGAGGCAGCAGGGGCGGTAGGAGAGAGGCTGAGGGGCTCAGCTGTGGCAAGAGTGCACCAGGACCTCCATAGGTGTTTCCTCCCTGGCTGCTGACCAGGGTGTAACAGCAAGAAGGGTGAGCTATCTGGTCTTATGAGTCACCGTTTGGTGAGAGTGAAGTACAAGACTAGAGGCTTCCTTCCTTCTGCTGGGGCTCTGCCTCCCATCATGCAGAAGAAGGCTCAAGTTGCTGCTAGTCTAACTGAGAGAACAACCCGAGAAAGGCAACAGAGACACAGACTAAGACAAGAAAAGATGCCTCAGAAGTGATTGGTCCCTCAGGTGCAGAATAACTTAATTAATTAATCCAGGAAGGCTTCTGGAGTTTAGACATGGAGTAGCGTACATCCAGTCTCTCTGTGGATTGCCTGGGTGTGTGTGTTGGGGAGGGTAGTGGTCCCAAAGAGCAGCTCCCTCCAGAGTAGGGCCTGGCTGGAGACAGGAGCTTTTGTCTGGGGTTCTGCCAGGCTTGAAGCCTGTCTGAGGGCACTAGCCCTGTCCATTTCCCTGGAAGCTCTGGAGAAGACATCCTCATTGGCGGGCTGAAGCCATTCACCAAGTATGAGTTTGCGGTACAGTCCCACGGTGTGGATATGGATGGGCCTTTTGGCTCCGTAGTAGAGCGCTCCACCCTGCCTGACCGTGAGTAGCCACTGCCTCTCCCCCATGTGCCACCCATTTGCTGGGTCCAGTGAAGGAGGAAGAAGCGGAGACGGTGCCCTCCCTCATCCCCTAACTTCCAGCCACCCTCAGCCGGGGCTGTGTCTCTGACCCTCCCACCCCCTTTCCTGCACTGTAGGACCTTCAACACCCCCCTCTGACCTACGCCTGAGTCCCCTGACACCATCCACTGTTCGGCTACACTGGTGTCCCCCCACGGAGCCCAATGGTGAGATCGTGGAGTATCTAATTCTCTACAGCAACAACCACACTCAGCCTGAGCATCAGTGGACACTACTCACCACAGAGGGTAAGGATGTCCTTCCCCTCTCCCAGGTGATGGAGTTACTCATTAGGACGTCCTGGGGGCTTCTGGGATTAGAGGCAAAAGCTACTGTCTGGGGCCAAGTCAGTGGTACTTCTGCCTCCTGCCCCTGCCTTCTGTCTGCCACACTGCTTGCTCCCCACTCCCCACCCTAGGAAACATCTTCAGTGCAGAAGTGCATGGCCTGGAGAGTGACACCCGGTATTTCTTCAAGATGGGGGCCCGCACAGAGGTGGGACCGGGGCCCTTCTCCCGCTTACAGGATGTGATCACTCTCCAGGAGACGTTCTCAGGTACCAGGGAGGAGGGAGGAGGCCTTTGGGGCACCCTGGGGCCCTAAGACCCCTGGATTGGCTCCTAAGGCCCTGCTTTTGGAAACTATACTCTTTCGACTTTGGAGTCCTTGGGGGTAGAGGGTGGGTGAGACAGTGGCAGCTTGGTAGAGGGACTGTCATGGTCAGAAGCTGTCAGAGAGATGGTTTTCTGGAAGATTTCTGGGAGCTCATGAGCTCTGTGAAGGGGAGTGGGCAGCAGGCTGGATGGGAACTCACAGCTTTCAATTAAGAGCCCAGGGCCCCCTATTGAAAATTATTACAATTATAAATAGAGTATTAAGCACACTTAGGACTGAGGAGATGCTCAGTTAGTAAAATGCTGCCATACGCGCAACAGGACCCGAGTTCAAATGCTCAGCGCCCATGTGAAAGGTAGATGCGGCCATTTACACTATAACCCCAGTGCTGAGGATGTAGAGACTGGATGATCTCTGGAGCTGAGAGAGGTTGAGGAAATCTTTTGATGTAGACCTCTGACTTCCACAGGACACATACATGCACTTGTGCACCCCCTACATGAACATATACATACATTACAGAAACACATGTGTACACACTGCACCTAGAGCCCTCCTACATTATACATGTATACACCATGAAAGCCCTTGTCAGCAGGTGGGAGAATACGGCACTGAAAAACTGATTCTGTAAAGTCCAGTTTTCCGAGTAGAAACAAGTGGTGTATACCAGGGAAGACCATGGTGGGCTTAGTGTGAGTCTTAGTGAGGTTCTGTAGCCTTCTATACTCCAGTCAGAAGAGAGGGAGCTTCCAAGCCAGGTATGCTGGCACACGCCTTTGATCCCAGCACTCCAGAGGCAGAGGCAGGTAGATCGCCGAGTTTGAGGCCAGCCTGGTCCACAGAGTGCATTCCAGGACAGCCAGGCTACCTAGAGAAACCTTATCTAAAAAAAAAAAAAAAAAAAAAAACCCAAAAACGAAAGAGAAGGAGAGAGGGGTGTCCCCAAAGGGTGAGACTGGGGCTAGCCATCTTCTGCAGAAGCCCCTCCCATCCTGGATTTGTGAACGCTATGTCCTTCTGTCCTTCCCACCAGACTCCTTGGACGTGCACTCCGTCACAGGTATCATCGTGGGCGTCTGCCTGGGCCTGCTCTGCCTCCTGGCTTGCATGTGTGCCGGCCTCCGACGGAGCTCCCACAGGTGAACCAGCCAGCGGGACTGAAAGGGTTTCCCGGAAGGTTGCGGAGTGGGCAAAGGAGTGTATACTTCCCTGCGGCACATGGAGCCTGTTCAAGTTAGGGCTATGGAGGTGGTGGGTTCAGTGTGGCGTTTGCCCAGCCTATGTGAGGCCCTGGGTTCCACCTTCAGCTGCAGAAGAAAACATTTATTAGTATTCTGAGATGAACGATTGAGGCGTTGTTCTCATGAGAATGTGGAACGAACTTAGGGGAACCCCAGTCTCCCCACTCAGTAAAAGCAGGTGGAGCCACGCTGTGTGCTTTCTTCATAGCCTCCAGCAGTGTGGCTGGAGAAGCCCCACCTCTCCATATGAGGAAGGGTGCCATTTGAGGGGTCAGGCTGGATAGACAGTATTCCTTTCTTCCTGGTTGCACATGCCACACCCGGAAACCAAATCCACTCTTGTCTGGCTCATAACTTTGTTCTTGTTGCAGGGAAGCCCTCCCAGGGCTGTCCTCCACAGCCACCTCTGGGAATCCAGCACTGTACTCCAGAGCTCGACTTGGGCCCCCCAGTCTCCCTTCTGCCCATGAGCTGGAGTCCCTGGTGCACCCCCGTCCTCAGGACTGGTCCCCACCTCCCTCAGATGTGGAAGACAAGGCTGAAGTGCACAGCCTTATGGGTGGCGGCGTTTCAGATTGCCGGGGCCACTCCAAGAGAAAGGTGAGAACCCATTCTCACCTACACGAACCCATTCCCAAACTAAACACCAGGGGGCGACAGAGCACAATTTCTGACCATGAGACATACACCAGACCCTGGGCTAGCTAGAGAAGCCTGTGTGCAGTTCCTTAACCCTTGGATAAGGGTAGCCAGCCTTATTTTCACCAGGGAGCACCCAGATCTCACTTTCCTGATCACTTAGGCTGTAGTCAAGTAGGACTGGACCCAGGATAATGTAAGACCCCATAGGCCAGGTCCCCTCGGACCTTCTGTGGTGAGACCCCCATGACCAAGAGGATAGTCAATCCTCCCATCTCTCCCCCTTCCTCTACAATGGGAGCCTTGGGCTTTGCATATCAAGTGTCGTTAGGGTTATGATTCTGCCCTTCCTACACTCCCAACCCAGTGCCCACCCCTGCCTAGGGGAGGGGCTTTAGCATGGATCCTGTCTGGAGATAGTAGGGGTCCACAGACCTGGACCCTCACATGTCTGTCATCTTCCTTCTTTGCAGATCTCCTGGGCTCAACCAGGTGGCCTGAACTGGACAGGCTCCTGGGCAGGCTGTGAGCTGCCCCAGGGCAGTGGTCCTAGGCCTGCTCTGACCCGTGCCCTGCTGCCTCCAGCTGGAACTGGGCAGACACTATTGCTGCAGGCTCTGGTGTATGATGCCATAAAGGTCCGTGTCCTGAGAGGAAGGGGGAGGCAGGAGGGAAGCCCCCCCATCTTTCCAGAGACAGACATGCATTCAGGAGGCCGTGTAGCTTCTAAAGGGGAGTGGGTGACAGGAAGTCCAGTTTGAGGACAGTTCCTTCTTTACCTGGAACTGAGTGACCCCTCAGATACCCCTCAGAATGGGTGGCATTCTCTATTTCCTGCCTTTGTCAGAGCCTGAGCATCATCTCAGGTGGGACAGTCCTTGTTATATTATCTAGTGGAGAGTCAGCCTTCCTCCATCCCACATATGTTGGCCATTTTTCTGATGACCATTCTCAATGATGTTCACCTGGCCTTTTGTTCTCTGCTCTGCCAGAGCAACGGGAGAAAGAAGCCACCCCCAGCCTGCAGGAATCAGGTGGAGGCCGAGGTCATTGTCCACTCCGACTTCGGTGCGTCCAAAGGAAGTCCTGACTTCCACCTCCCAGACCTGGAACCTGAGGAACCCCTGCCTACAGAGGCTCTGCCTTCCACCTCAGGGGTTGTGGATCTGTCTCAAGGAACAGACTGGCTGGGCGGGGAGCTGGAAAGCTGCGAAGAGGCAACCAGTGGGCCAGAGAGGCTCACCTGCTTGCCAGAGGCAGCCAGTGCCTCCTGCTCCTGCCCAGACCTCCAGCCTAGCACCTCTCTTGAGGAGGCCCCTGGAAAAAGCTCTCAGCCCAAAGCCCTGTGCCCTCTAGCGGTCAGCCCAAGCCTCTCCAGGGCTCCTGTCACCTCTGCTCAGCTTCCCTGAGCAAAGGCTGGTGTGGCTCAGGATCGTGACATGCATGGCCATATGTGCGTACTAGCGACAAGCCTTTTGGAGCCTCTTAGGATCCTTTTGGCTGGGATGGGGGAGACCTTCACTCACTCCTCCATATTCTCCACATACGGGATGCTGGAGGGACTTGAGACCAGCTCCATGGGACGGACATGTATGGAGTCCCGTGTGTGCGCTGGTTGAGCTGGGAAACCTCCCCCTGTGTAGCGGTCACCATGGTCTAATGAATCCTCCATGGCAGGATGGTATAACAGTGATCAGTGCCAGCTCTTTGAGCCATAGCTTTGTCACCCAGTCTTTTATTACACTCTGAGAGTGTCTCCAATGCCGTGTCTACGAAGACAGCCCCAGCCCCTCTGCCGTCAGCTGGGCTGAGCTGAGTGCCTGTCAACTCCGCGGGCCTACATTGCAGCTGCATGGCCGTCATCCCCCTGGCCTCCTAAGGCCCAGAAGGCTGGGGGAGCCCAGCTCAGCCCCCCTCTCCCTGGAGCAACCCTGCACCTAATTTTGTAATATGGGAAGTGCCTGGTTTGGGAAATCTTCTTTCTCCCCGCCCCCTCTTCTGTGCCCCTTCGTTGTTCTAGTGATCTGTCTCTTGTTGCCTTGCTCCCTTATCCCAGGGCCCTTCTCTTTCCTGTGATGCCTCTCAGCTTCCCGCGGCTCTGTCCCTTTCTCTCTGTCTCCCATGCTTGTCATTGTGTCACAGGTTTCTCGTCCCTGGCTTCAACCTATGCACCCTTCCCTAACAACGTGACTACCTCATGTCTGCTTCAGACCATAGTGTGACCCCTGGGTCCCCATGGCTCCCCTGCCAACACCCTTTCCAGGCAAATGATCCACTCCGGATAGATTTGGGAAAGACCTTTTGGCGTCCCTGGTCCCCTTCTCCTTGGGATTGAGATGGGTAGGCTTTCTATGGAAATGATGAATCCAGGCTGTACCAGGGAAGCTGCAGAAGGGGTAGGGACTGAAACCCAGAGGCTGAGCAAAATGACCGCCACCCATCTGCACAGAAAAATGGGTGTGCGTTTTTTTTTTTGTTTTTTTTTTTTTGTTTTTTTTTAGCCGCGCAGTCTCCAGTTCTGGCTGAGGCTGGAGGGGGTGAGGGTAGCTGAGTTAAGTGAGCACTTGAACTTGACTGGATTCGGAGTGGGAAAGGAGTTTCCTCCAAGATGCTAGAAGGGATGTCCCTGCACAGGAAGAGGGTGGGTGGCTCGTTTTGTTAGATTTTTCCCTTAAATGGGATCCTGAGATCATCTTCCCACAAAGGGACAAGCCTGACTTGTACCTCCTGGGTCGCGAAAGCCATGCCATCTGTTTGGTGTCTCACCTCAGTCATTCTCCAGGAGTGCAGAATGTGGGATCTCTGCTCTCCCTCTTGCTGGCATACCAAGAGTTAACTCTGACTTCTGGGCCAAATTAGAGATAACCAGTGTATCTTTCCTTTTTTTTTTTTTTTTTAATGTCTTTCAGCAGAGTTGCAGCCTCCACAGCCCCTGAAAGCATCTGTGTTTATTACCCTCGTGTGTCACTCACGTTTGACACCTCACCTACATTTCCTCCTCCTCCCCTCTTCAGCCAGCCTATGATAACACTAAAGATTATTAATGTTGGTTTCGTGTCTCGTTAAAGACGGGATTGTCACTTGAACTACTTCTATAGCTTTCAGAGTGGCCATGGCCAACACCACTGTGTGTTTCTTCATTGCTCTGAAGGTCAAAAGCCTCATTTTATTTTGTTGGTTAGGTTTTTTTCTCCTTGCCTTGAATGAAATAGCTGTTTTAACAGTAGGCTCTTAGCATTGCGCCACACCACATAGTCATTTCTCATGTTCTTGTTTAACAGGCACTGAGGTTCTGGTTTAAATTAAATAGCTGCAAATGAGACAATTTATAACCCATTAGGTTGGGTGGAAAATTGTTTCTCAAAAGCAAATAAGTAATAAATCTGGTATCTGCCTATAACTCACAGTTGATAAGAACGTAGCCATTACTCACAAGCATTATATATGATTCGGGTTCCGAGTAACTGGGGAGTGCTCCATCTGTGGCTTTGCAGCAGCAGGTTTTATTAGAAAAGAGTCTATTGGCCTTTTACAGGGTATTAATCCTTTTGTCGCTTGCCATGGATGCCTTAAATTCTTTTGAGTCTCATTTAAAAATCTTCCTTTTCTCGAAGCATGACAAGTGTACTCAGTACTTACATGCTCACTTATTTACCCAGACTTAGCTTATGCTGTATTATTTAATTGCATTTCCAGCATCATGTTTCCTCTTACAAATATGATATTCTTTAGTGTTACACTAAGGCATTGATCATATATCTGTCCCTATAATGAATAAATAAACTATTTTCCAGACATGTTGCTCTCTTTTTTAAAAAAAACATTTCCTTAAAGATTTGTGTCTGTGTGCACACTCAGGACATACATGTATAATTTTATGTGTACCACATGTATGCAGGTGCTCACGGAGGCCAGAGTGCTTCGGTGTCCCTGGAACCGGACTTTCCAGGAGCTGTAAATCATCCATCCAGTAAGGCTCTGAGAGCCAAGCAAGGGTCCTCTGCAAGGGCAGTGAACACTCTTTTTTTCTTTTTGTTTTGTTTTTTCGAGACAGGGTTTCTCTGTAGCTTTGGAGCCTATCCTGGAACTAGCTCTGTAGACCAGGCTGTCCCCGAACTCACAGAAATCCACCTGCCTCTGCCTCCTGAGTGCTGGGATTAAAGGTGTGCTCCACCACCACCCAGCCCAGTGAACCAGCCCTCAGCCTCATGATAGTTCTTCATGGAACCAAATGACTAGGGTTTCCTCAGTCTTCCTGGCCTAGGAAGTTTATTTCCTGCCAGGATGGGAAATGGTAAATTTTTAGAGGGAAGATGGGTCCAAGAAAAAAAATCTGGAGCCTCTTTCCCACTCAGTGGGCACTTAGGAAACACATACACAGACACACACAAGCATATGCTCTTATAGATACATACATACATACAAACATGATTTTTTTTTCAAATTTCAAGTTAAAACAAGTCATTGTGTAGTTGGGAATGAGCACACCTAGCATGTGTCATGAGCGTTTGCCCGCGTGTACACATGTGCACCACATGCATGCCTGTGCAGGGAGAGGTTGGAAGAGTGTGGCCTACATTGTGGCCCACAGATGTGTTGAGCCCCATTCCTAACTCTCCTGGGATGCACCTGCTAGTAATGCACTCCAGCTCACCCCTGCATACTCATCTTCACAAAACTCAAAGGTATACACGGTCTCACAAATTGTGACAGCTGCCCCTTGCTGAAATCTTTAAGAAGGCTCTAAAGTGGCTCCCCCACACACACACACTGGAAGGAATCATGAGCCAGCAGAGGCTGTCATGCCTGGGACCACCCCCAAAGTGACTGGTGGGCCAGGCTCAGAGTTAATTGACAGATCACACAGAGAGATACTGCACATTTTGCATGCAGCAGAATAGCCATTATTTGCATATCACTCTCAGACCAAGGGTTGTGATAAAGAAAAATTAAACACTTGTCAAGATGAATTTAAAATGACAGCAATTCAGGACACCAATTTGACCTCTCTGGAGTCCTGAACATGCCAAGAAGGGGTGGTTGATGATTCAAGGCCTGCAGGAGGGCATTCCCTGACTTTAGGCCCCAGAGAGGCCCCTCCTCCAATACTACCTTCCCTGTTGTCTGTGGAGGCCTCACCCCGGCCCTTCCTCAGTGAATCCTTTTGTGGTAATGGCAGACCTGTGTCCCTGCTCTTGAATCTCTCCACTGCTCACATGACTCCAGACTATCATTTTAGCCTTATGTTAATGCAGATGATTTGTCAGTGTGCAGGCATCTGATTTCTAGACATCTGAAGGTTTTTTGTTTGTTTGTTTTTGTTTTTTGCCAGGGTTTCAGTATGTAGCTCTGGCTATCTTGGAACTTGCTAGACCAGACTCGCCTTGAACTCACAGAGATCTACCTGCCTCTGGCCCCCAAGTACTGGGATTAAAGATGTGCACCACTATGCCTGGCTCTTCTGAACGTTTTTCTGAATATGAAAATTTTAGTATATTTTATTTATTTACCGTGTGTGTGTGTGTGTGTGTGTGTGTGTGTGTGTGTGTGTGGTCTGTACATGTGCCACAGAGCAAAGCGTGGCCGGCTGTCAGAGGGACAGTTTGCTGTGGGTGTCAGTTTTTCCTTCAACCATGTAGGTGCCAGGGATGGAACTCAGCTGGTTCGGTCAGGCTTGGCCACTGGTGCCCTTCCCTCCTGAACCATCTCATTGGCCCCAAGCCTGCACCGCTTTACCCACCTATACCACAGTATGGTGGCACATGCTCCTAATCCTAGCACTGTGGAGGCAAGGGTATTAAAGAGTCCAAGGTCAGCCTCCGAGAGTCGAAGTGAACTCAGGCCAGGCTGGGCTAGCAGAGGAGAGAGAGAATGATACACCTCGACCACTCCAGTCGTGTCAGAGAACCTTCGTGAGGCACACGCTGCCACCTTTAAATCTCTAGCCTCCAGGATTTACTTTGAATGGACTCACCCACCAAGTTGGACCCAATGGGTGGTCGCATAGAGTAGTAAAAGGCCAAGATTCAAGATCTCTGTAGGGTAACTTTCTTAATAGTTGCATCCCCATGTGTGAAACATCAGATAAGGCACAGAGATGATCCTGACGATTGTAACTTCCAGGGTGCTTACCCAGCTACTAGGTCATTTGCTGGACCTTGACTTTTAAACATCTGCAAAGTTGAGGGGAGATACTGTTGTCTTCAGGTTTCAGACCAACTCAGTGAGAATGACTGGGCTGATCAGCCGGCAGAACCGGGCGGGGTCTCGGGTTTCTATGGGGCTCTTAATGTCGTGTTGGGGTTGCTCTTCCCAGATCATCTTCCGGAGTGTCCTAACTCCTCAATCTAGAGAGTCCAGTCTTGTAGTGACACGACCCGTTCCCTTGGACAGAAGGACTGGGAATCTACGGAATATCAAATTTCTAACAACTTTGAGCAGTTTGAAGAAAATTGTTTTAAAAACAGAGTTGGACATTGTGGAACAGGGCACCTCAGAGAAAGTGGATGAGAGCAAACCCCTCAACTGTACGTGTTTTTCCGCAGCCCGGACCCTCTCTTATAAGTGTTCACTTTCCCAGATCCTGAAGTCCGGACCCGCCACGAGGAGCGAATACCCGGCTGCAGTCCGGATCGGCGCCGGCTACTCCCGCTGCAGTTCAAAGCGCAGGGGGCGCGTCCGCCGCGCAGCCGGGAATGTCCGGCAGCTTAAAGCGCTCGCCGGCTCTTTTGTTCCCCAGACCCGGCCTCCGGGGAGAGGGGGCTGGGGGAGGGGAGAAGAGGGGGGCCGCGGGCAGAGGAGGAGGGCGGTGCGGGCGCGGGCGGAGAGCGGAGCGCGCACCCCGGGCGCGGCTGACAGATCGCCGCGGTGGGTGCAAGATGGCGCAAGCGGCGCTCTCCCTGACCCCCCCCCCCCCCCAACGTCTCCCCTCCCCCAGCCCCCTCTCCCCGGA